TGCTCTGAAAAAAACTTCATAAAGTTTCAATTTTGATCTAGAAAGCAACTGAAAATGCCACAAAAATCTGAAATTCCCAACAATTTAAACAACAGCCAACAATAATGTGTATCAAATCGCACTGAGTAGGCAACGCAGAAAATGAACTCAATATGAGTCCATCATTTTCATNAAATAGGAAGTCAATGTAGAGAAATAGTAAAAACAACTCAATTGTTTCTAATTAATGTTTTGAAGAGGCAAATGACAACATCAATAGTACAAAGCTGATGTACTTCATACAGATTCTCGTAAATCAGATTCGTGTGATTACACAAACTTTTATTACGTGTTGACTGAGCTCTACGTGACAATGAATAAATCACGTTCTATCTGTTTTACTGTTCATTATGAAAACTGTTCTATCAGACGTGATCAAAAATTTGACCTATCAGCAGCCATTTCATTTACGCTTCCAGATCTTCAAGTGATTGCATAAGAGTGTCTTTGGATTTAATTATTACAAACTGACTGAATTATCAGGTGAAGCACCCAAGAAACAGTATCGTCTAGCACTGACCCGTCAGTCTCTTGAACAGTATCCAGTTGTATATTCCGCAGTTTCCGTCGTTTCTTTTCAAACTTCGACGTTTCACAAAGTCCATTGAACCAGTTTCTGAAAATTTCGGCTATGATCTACAAGTATCACTCAATGCTCAAAATGATCCCACTCTAATTACAAAGACTACACATTTTGCGGTTGTTCAGGGATGGGGACTAAGGCTCAGGAGTGAGTTTAACGGATAGACATAGGCTTCGATGTAGGCCTAGGATTAGGCTCAGTTTGACAAATACTTGCTGAGAAGATGCACTGAAAAAATACAGTATTAATAATAATTTCTTAACTATTATATGGCCACTGCCTGAACAACCCAACAGATTTATTTCATCGGTATGCAAAGCGACATTTTAAGAAGCTGTTTTCAGTCACCTCTTCAAAAACCCTTTTTTTTTCAAGCGGTTCACTCATTGTTTTCTCGTTAATCTTGCCGTTTTCGGAATTTTCATGGAAGTTTATGGTTTCAATTTCATATCTTCACAAGAAAGACTCTAACCTTATTTTTCCAATCAGTGTTAAATTCAAGCGATAAGAATCGTTTCGCGACTCAATACAATATTCACCAATCGCAAGCAGAATAGCAATGATGAGTCCGGTGATGAGAATATAGAAAATACCAAAAATGTTTTGAAAAGATGATGTGATTCGCTCTTCTTTGGTTTCCGCACAAGATACGACTCCTGAAATGCTTGACTTGTGACGGTCATATCTTTAAGATCATTCGAAAGCCATATGAATGCTAAGAGAAGTTAGACTCAATCAATGTTTCTTCCGACCACCTATAATTTGTTCCTGCAAAACGTGAGCTAATTTGGAAGCAGAATTCGAAATCAGCTGGAGTTCTACAAGACCGTCCACGTCCACGGTTCACATTGAAATGCTACGATGAATCCAGTTTTCACATCGTTTGAAGCAAAAAGTTTAGACGACTAAAAAAGTTAATGGAAGTTTGTTTATAATCTATAATTCACCACTTTTATCTTTCCACCATTTCATTTTCAGTGCTTCAAGTATAGTCCGCTCCTGAAGCTGGAGCACAGTTTGTGATAGCAAATGTCGAAGTGGCGATCCTTTCGGTAAAGCAATTCCGTAGCCCTGAAAAATCTCCATTATAAAATTTTTCAGGTTCTGCATAAATATGAAAACATTGCCTGCTCGAAATTTCTCTTATTCTCTCGAATAAATTTTCCGAACCTCATTGTCACTGTATCCGATGTGCTGACATTATAATAACTTATAAATGTAACTCATTCAGCGGTCCTCACGAATGGTATAGGTAAAAATTAGAGGGAATCAAGAGATTTGCGATCTCCTCATCACAAACACAAGCATAAGATAGAGAGTATATCCCCTGATTGGATATCAAGCACAAAACCTAGGCCTTTCTCTGCTTTCTCGAATATCGCAGCAAAACTCGTTGGCTATCTGATGCCAATTACCAAAGGCTTGGTACTTCCAGAATAGCGGATTTTTTCTAAGGGCGCAAACTCAATGGTGGTTGGTTTACATGCAGAGAGCAACAAAATTAAAATGTCATGCACCAACGACGTTTTCAAAGTTATCATTGTCCTTCTATATTAAATTTTCAAAGTGGTTCATTTGGATTTTCGAATGTTTTAGTTCAGCTGTCGACACTGCTCAAAGGGTTTCGTATAGCAGATCAAACCAACCGATCAAACTTCATTGGGGGGCCAAATTGAAGTACAATAAGATAATGTCAAACCTTTGAGTCAAGCAAACCTCCGATGGCCTGCAACTGACAATCTCTTGCCATGTAATACTCCAACATTGACGATTCCATCATATACGCGTAATTACCTGCCTTGGCTCGTGCAATTCCTTCGCGACTACTATTCACGAACACAGTAGGTGTTGTTGATTGCATTATTGACCACCTGTAA